CTGCCTTCTCACAATCGGGTAATCTGAAGACACACATGAGAACACACACGGGAGAGAAACCGTATAAGTGCGATCTGTGTGATGCTGCCTTCTCAGAGCTGAGTAGTGTGAAGAAACACATGAGAACTCACACGGGAGAGAAACCGTATAAGTGCGATCTGTGTGATGCTGCCTTCTCAGAGCTGAGTAGTGTGAAGAAACACATGAGAACTCACACGGGAGAAAAACCGTATAAGTGCGATCTGTGTGATGCTACTTTCTCCTATCTGAGTAGTGTGAAGACACACATGAGAACTCATACGGGAGAGAAACCATGTAAGTGCGATCTGTGTGATGCTACCTTCTCCTGTTCGAGTAATAGGAAGAAACACATAAGAACTCACACGTGAGTTAAACCATATAAGTGAAAACTGTGTGATGCTATCTTTTCACAATCGGGTCATCTAACGAGACGCGTGAGAATTCACGTGAGTGAAACCATATAAGTGCGAACTGTGTGATGCTGCCTTCACACAATCGTGAGATCTCTCCTACTCTAGGGAGATGTCGTATAGATGTGAGTAGAAAGTACACCTCGAACTGTCAGACTCACATGTATGATCAGCTTGGCTCTGTGAACAAGCGAGCACACTGCACACATGTGAAGTGGAGCAGTGTGGATTACCAACGAAGGCAAATTATGCAACTAAACTGTTACAACTTCTCCCCGAGTGGAAACTAAAGTAGAATCATGATTGTGTTTTAATTAGTTCTTAAGTTACCCAATCTGAGAGCATTGGACAAATCTGTATATTTAGTATAAAATGCGGCTAGTACCATTTGTGAATAAGCATGTGTTTGAACACTGATCTAATAAAACAACGTATATTATAGCCTTGAATTGTGTTTTTTTGCTATTTTAATGCTTGTCAACGAGAGTGAAGGATACAAAGGGAAGTAGGTTGAGAGATAAAGCAATAAAAACGGGAACGTATGTTGGGATGCTAATTCTATTGACGGCGGGGAAGGGGAGAGGCAGCGTAAACGAGATAGAGAGATGTGAGGAACGAGCAAAGTGCATTTTTATGTGTTAACTCTAAGTGAGAGAAAGAACGTGCCATAGTTACCTATTGGCATTTTATTAATATCAAAATATATGCGTGTGAGCATTTACACATAGTTAACATTCATATACCGGATAACTTCTAACGCAGACGTATTCATTCATGTATGTCGTACAAATTCAATAACACATCTACTATATTACATAACTTCAGTCTTGAGCAAATGCACGCGCTCGTCGCTCAGCTAGACATCATAGAGGAGAATGTAAGCGACCAGGTAGTTTCACTCTCTTACTGCTCACTTTGTGTGTGTGTATTTGTGTGTGCGCGTGTGTGTGTGTTATAAATATGCACTGGTAGTGCGACGAACTTGATTCTTCAAGCAGTGGGCACACGCGGCTTTGGAACCGGGCGTGGTGGCGTGATTTCGCCTGCTAAAGTACTTTTTAGATGCGGGGAAGCATCAAGGTATGCTTTATATGTATAATTAAGAACTTTAGTAGCGTTAAATTGTTGATAAATAGATACAATTACTGCAAAGCCTAAACTCCTCATTCAATAACTCCTCATTAAACTACTATTCATTACTATAGTCGCACCCCGTTAGTACAAAACTGGCGGGCCAAAGAAAAATAATCATATTAAGCGGGTCCCGTATATTATATTACTTTAATTTATTTGAATATTAATTTGAAGAGAAAAACAATGGATTAGAAGGTGTGTATAAAGTGTTTTATATAGAAATGAATATACCGGGACAGAAAATTTTATTTTAGTAACAGGATCCTTGTATTATTGTTTTCGTATCAAGTCAATATTTCACTAAGAGATTACTATAAATTGGGCCATATGAGTCAATAGGGAAGACTAGGTGGCGTACCAACAGCCGAGCGAGCTGTTAAGAGTGAGCTACGCTATATCCCCATCATTATAGCCATCTCTTAATCGGCCATAAGATGGCTTAAAAACACTCTCATACACCCGGACCTTAATTACTTACGCAGTTGTAAAATATGGTTTGTATAGGTGTCGCCAAGCATTGTTTAATATACATGAAATGAGATGCATTAGAAAGGGTTGCAGGGTGCTGTCAGGTGCTCAGAGTTCAAGAAGTCAGAGATGCGGGATTGCTTGGTGTGCGTAAGAACATTATGTGTACGGTGATTTGTTGTTAGTGATTGTTTACAAAGCTGGTTAGTTCTGCTTTGGTAGAAATAACAGTCAGCATCCCTGCACAGTAAGGATGCCACTTAAGTACCAAGCCCGCGAGAGACGAGTTTTACAGCAATGATTGTGGGCGTGGTGTGCCGCTGCTGTTGTAATTAATTAGGGGAAGCGACCAGCGTGTGTCCTGGTTTCAGACCGGTTACCCGGCTGTCAGGATATCAGACCGGTTTTATCATAACCGCAGCTATATAACCACGCCACTGACGTTTGTAACTTTAATGCTGATACGAGAACACTATTGGGACGATCAGTGACTTCATTGGGTAAGCGGATGTTTCTTAATTATAATAATTCAGTATATTTATTTTCGCGATACATTATGTGCAAGAGCTTACAGTCGTAAAATGGTGCGTGATGTTTAGATGATAATAATTCGATATTTAGTGTAAACAGTTAAATTGCAAACATGAGCAGGGCGCGTTTTTGTTCTACACCAATACGCGGCGTTCAATACATTTATTCGTATTCTCTTTACTAATTTGCAGGAGAGCCTATATAGGACGTTAATTCTACAAGTGTGACGAAGCAGTCTACGAAGCAAAACACGTGGTCGTAACTTATGCGGCAGACAGGGTATACACACCTGAAGTGTGTGTGACCAGTACGTGGCAGCTTTCCCTGAAGCACGATGGAGTACGTGAGAATTAATTCCGAGGGAAATCTATATGAGTGCAAATTGTGTGATGCTTCCTTCTCCTATCTGAGTAGAGTAAAGTTACACATGAGAACTCACTCGGGAGAGAAACCGTACAAGTGCGATCTGTGTGATGCTGCCTTCTCACAATCGGGTCACCTGAAGTCACACATGAGAACACACACTGGAGAGAAACCGTGTAAGTGCGAACTGTGTGATGCTACCTTCTCACAATCGGGTGATGTGAAGAAACACATGAGAACACACACGGGAGAGAAACCATATATGTGCGATCTGTGTGATGCTGCCTTCTCAGTGCTGAGTAGTGTGAAGAATCACATGAGAACACACTCGGGAGAGAAACCGTATAAGTGCGATCTGTGTGATGCTGCCTTCTCACAACCGGGTGCTGTGAAGTCACATATGAGAACACATACGGGAGAGAAACCGTATAAGTGCGATCTGTGTGATACTGCCTTCTCACAACCGGGTGCTGTGAAGTCACACATGAGAACTCACACGGGAGAGAAACCGTATAAGTGCGATCTGTGTGATGCTGCCTTCTCACAACCGGGTGCTGTGAAGTCACACATGAGAACACACACGGGAGAGAAACCGTATAAGTGCGATCTGTGTGATGCTGCCTTCTCACAACCGGATGCTGTAAAGTCACACATGAGAACACACACGGGAGAGAAACCGTATAAGTGCGAACTGTGTGATACTGCCTTCTCACAACCGGGGGCTGTGAAGTCACATATGAGAACACACACGGGAGAGAAACCGTATAAGTGCGAACTGTGTGATGCTACCTTTGCATACTCTGGTAATCTGAAGACACACATGAGAACTCACACGGGAGAGAAACCGTATAAGTGCGATCTGTGTGATGC